ATAATGTTGCCAGATGGTCAGAGACACCAACATCATACACCTCAAGGCCAGTAACTGTGTGAGTCTTGTGTGATCTCGTGTGACCTCGTGTGAGTCTTGTGTGATCTCGTGTGAGTCTCGTGTGAGCTTGTGTGATCTCGTGTGATCTCGTGTGAGCCTCGTGTGAGTCTTGTGTGATCTCGTGTGACCTCGTGTGAGTCTTGTGTGACCTCGTGTGAGTCTTGTGTGATCTCGTGTGACCTGGTGTAATCTCGTGTGACCTCTTGTGAGTCTTGTGTGATCTCGTGTGATCTTGTGTGATCTCGTGTGATCTTGTGTGATCTCGTGTAATCTCGTGTGAGTCTCGTGTGATCTCGTGTGAGTCTCGTGGGACCTCGTGTGATCTTGTGTGATCTCGTGTGAGTCTCGTGGGACCTCGTGTGATATTGTGTGATCTCGTGTGAGCTTGTGTGATCTCGTGTGAGTCTCGTTTGATCTCGTGTGAGTCTTGTGTGATCTCGTGTGATCTCGTGTGAGCTCGTGTGAGCTCGTGTGATCTCGTGTGATCTCGTGTGAGTCTTGTGTGACCTCGTGTGATCTCGTGTGAGTCTTGTGTGACCTCGTGTGATCTCGTGTGACCTCGTGTGAGCTCACGTGATCTCGTGTGAGTCTTGTGTGATCTCGTGTGATCTCGTGTGAGTCTTGTGTGACCTCGTGTGATCTCGTGTGAGTCTTGTGTGATATCGTGTGATCTCATGTGAGCTTGTGTGACCTCGTGTGATCTCGTGTGAGTCTTGTGTGACCTCGTGTGATCTCGTGTGACCTCGTGTAAGTTCGTGTGATCTCGTGTGATCTCGTGTGATCTCGTGTGACCTCGTGTGATCTCGTGTGAGTCTCGTGTGATATCGTGTGATCTCATGTGAGCTTGTGTGACCTTGTGTGATCTCGTATGAGTCTCGTGTGAGTCTCGTTTGATCTCGTGTGAGTCTCGTGTGACCTCGTGTGATCTTGTGTGACCTCGTGTGATCTCGTGTGTCTTGTGTGATCTCGTGTGAGTCTTGTGTGATCTCGTGTGATCTCGTGTGAGTCTTGTGTGATCTCGTGTGACCTCGTGTGAGTCTTGTGTGACCTCGTGTGACCTTGTGTGATCTCGTGTGAGCTTGTGTGATCTCGTGTGACCTCGTGTGATCTTGTGTGAGTCTCGTGTGATCTTGTGTGATCTCGTGTGATCTTGTGTGAGTCTCGTGTGATCTTGTGTGATCTCGTGTGACCTCGTGTGAGTCTCGTGTGATCTTGTGTGATCTCGTGTGATCTTGTGTGAGTCTCGTGTGATCTTGTGTGATCTTGTGTGAGTCTCGTGTGATCTCGTGTGATCTTGTGTGAGTCTCGTGTGATCTTGTGTGAGTCTCGTGTGATCTCGTGTGATCTTGTGTGATCTCGTGTGAGTCTCGTGTGAGTCTCGTGTGATTTTGTGTGATCTCGTTGACTGTGCTCTGTAGAACACACAGTAGAGGTTTCACAGCAATGTCAAAAAAAACAAAAACATTTTTGTTCCCCAAAGAACCTGTCACCCAAAGAGAGTGTGTGTGTATGTGTGTGTGTGTGTGTGCATGTTTGTGTGTAGTAGAACTACCTAATGATGAAATGTGACCTACCAGTGATCATGATTCATCCACTCAGTTTGATCCCACTGATGTATAAAAATGAACATGGAATTGCAGACGATTGAAACAAGAGACGACACACACACTTCTTCAGGTCAGTATATCCAGTCGTTCTGTTTTAATACAAAGTCGACATATTATCTACACAATATGATCTGAAATCAGTAAGCAGAGAAAAGTGAAGCACTACGTAGTCATCAGCTCTCGGCCCTCATTCCCTCATTCCCTCGTTCCTTCATTCCCTCATTCCCTCGTTCCTTCATTCCTTCATTCCCTCGTTCCCTCATTCCTTCATTCTCTCATTCCTTCATTCCCTCGTTCCCTCATTCCCTCGTTCCTTCATTCCCTCGTTCCCTCATTCCTTCATTCCTTTATTCCCTCATTCCTTAATTCCCTCTTTCCTTCATTCCCTCATTCCCTCGTTCCTTCATTCCCTCTTTCCTTCATTCCCTCGTTCCCATTCCCTCGTTCCTTCATTCCCTCGTTCCTTCATTCCCTAGTTCCCTCATTCCCTCGTTCCTTCATTCCCTCGTTCCTTCATTCCCCTCGTTCCTTCATTCCCTCGTTCTTTCATTCCCTCGTTCCTTCATTCCCCTCATTCCCTTTATTCCCTCGTTCATTCCCTCATTCATTCCCTCGTTCATTCCCTCATTCATTCCCTCGTTCCTTCATTCCCTCGTTCCCTCCTTCATTCCTCTCGTTCCCTTCATTCCCCTCGTTCCCTTCATTCCCCTCATTCCTTCATTCCCCTCGTTCCTTCATTCCCTCCTTCATTCCCTCGTTCCTTCATTCCCTCCTTCATTCCCCTCATTCCTTCATTCCCTCGTTCCATCATTTCCTCGTTCCTTCATTCCCTCCTTCATTCCCCTCGTTCTTTCATTCCCCTCGTTCCTTCATTCCCTCATTCCCTCGTTCCTTCATTCCTTCGTTCCTTCATTCCCTCGTTCCTTCATTCCCTCGTTCCTTCATTCCCTCGTTCCTTCATTCCCTCGTTCCTTCATTCCTTCGTTCCTTCATTCCCTCGTTCCTTCATTCCCTCGTTCCTTCATTCCTTCATTCCCTCGTTCCTTCATTCCCTCGTTCCTTCATTCCCTCGTTCCTTCATTCCCTCGTTCCTTCATTCCCTCGTTCCTTCATTCCCCTCTTTCCTTCATTCCCTCATTCCCTCGTTCCTTCATTCCCTCATTCCCTCATTCCCTCGTTCTTTCATTCCCTCGTTCCTTCATTCCCTCGTTCCTTCATTCCCCTCGTTCCTTCATTCCCTCGTTCCCTCGTCTGATCAAGTGTTGCTTTGACAGAGGATTGTGGGATTATTCCTGTGCTTTCGTCTTCAAAGGAACTTTTTAATTAGAGAGAATATTTGAATGGAAACATCAGTCGTAAATGTGCTTTAACTTGCAGAGAGAAACTCTGCTGAAGAAGACCAGTGTCGAGCAGATGCTGAAACTGACACAACATGATCACTGATACGCTCATATTTGCCAATATTTGATATTAGATTCACATTGATAACCACGTTCACTTTGGCCGATTCACAGGAGCGTCAGTTTATAACGTGCTGACAGGATGGAGAATCAGTTCAGCAGTTCTGTGTAGAGGCGTGGTCACATGAGTCAACTTTTGTTAGGAAATTATATTTTGTCAATAGTTTAGTGAAAAAATGATGTTCTTCCTCAGTGTTTCTGTCTCGTTTTCCAGCACTAACATCTAAACATTCTTAAATCAAGAGACATTTACTGGAGAAGAAGCAAAATGACTAAAGATAAAATGTATCAAAATGAAGTGAGTTTGTGTTTAAAACAAGAACAAATGTCTGCCAATGGAGTCAGAAAAATAAACTTGTTTTCTCTTTGAATTAAGAGTATTTTTCTGCCTCCATTGGATATTAGTTCTTGTTTTAAACACAAACTCACTTCATTTTGATGCATTTTTCATTTTTAAACATCTTCAGTCATTTTCTTATATCTTGATTTAAGAATGTTTGTACTGGAAAACAAGACAAAAACATCTTTTGCGATGTAATTTCAGCAGTTTTTGCACATTTCCACAATTAGTCTAATTCTGACTAATTCTAAACTGTTAGTGAAATCTAGGGAAATAAGGAAATCTTCCGCTAAATTCACATGTATTCCGAGTGAAACGAAAAATCCACACGTGACCACGCCTTAAATCTCAGTAAATGTATCGTCCATACATCACATTTCAGCCAATCATGTTAAGGTGGTATTACCCTGCTGGTTTAGTGCAGTTTACCACGGTGTGCAAGACCGGATGCGTATCTGGTGCTCTTTAACCCCGCGTGTGCTTGATCTCGCCTCGTCTGACTGATAATGCCGATGAGAACCATGTGACGTCTCAGAGCTCCAGCGATTGGCTGAGGTTTGGGCTCTGAGGACCGTTGGCTTCTCTAGAACAATCAGTGCACAGGAAATATATAAAATATCTGAGAGGGTTTACGAAGCACAACACTGTACATCTGAGCCATGTACAGTCACATTAGCCAACTACACCACAGCTCACAAATCATGGTGCCATAAAAATCATGTAACTAAATTGATCCTTAGAAATTCAAGCATATCAACAACAAAATGAAATAAAAAAATCAGGTCGATTAAATATTTGACAACAACGATAATAAGGCTCACTTCACGTCTCGAACCGGCTGGTTTCCCGCGCTACTCCTAAACATCACGCCTTCGCTAAACTAAACATGACGGGAAGAGTTTGGCGAGTGTGTTCCAGATTTGACCGGATGTTTCTAGCGTTTGACTGCTGGAAACACTGGGGAACGATCCGCCTTTCCTCCTAGAACGTGTGTGTGGAATCATTGATACGTTCTGGGATGAACGTCTGGTTGCGCAACAGCTGAAAGAGCAAAAGAACATGATACAGACACGAGATTGAAGCCTTGAAACTCGCTCGCCTCTCAAACACGCGAAAGCAGCAGAAAGTCTTGTAGAGACACAAACACAGTATTCACAGGAGTGTGTCCGCCTCGCTCCGTTAGGCACAGACGGTGGGAGATCTCGTTTAATTCAACTCCCGCTTAATCGTCCCGATGGCAACGATCCCGTCATTCACACGAACGAACGAACGAACGAACGAACTCACGTCTGACGTTGGCAAAGACAGTTCGAAGAAACTCCCACTGAAGGGTGCAGCAATAATCCAGGCTTTTGATTTCATAGTTTCTTGTTGTTGTTTTGCTTTAAATAGATTTTTTTGTACATGTAATATTTTCCTCTTCATCCACGGTTTAATATTTCTAGAAAGCCGACCACAACATTAATATCAATAAGTGAACACTGAGGTAATAGTTTGCGTCTCTGGTGTGTGGGTCCTCTGCGAGGGTTTGGGGAAGGTGTTCCTCACATGTTCTTGGCGTTCTTCTTCTCTTATGTTGCATAGTGATCAAAACTTCCAAGGTACTCGAGGCCGGCCTGATAGCAGAACTGATACTCGTCCTGCGAACACACACACACACAGATCTGATCACATGACTGCAGGAGACGAGGTCATCAACAGGACTAAAGTCACCTCGAATAAGAGTTAGTTGATCATCTGATTATCCTTGTTCATCACTAGTGCATTATATTCTCTGTTTCATAGACTAAAAAGATAACAATAAAAGTGAGTGGTGCTTGAAGTGGCAAAACTCTGCACTAGGGTGCTCTGGGTGGTTGCTAGGCCGTTGCTATGTGGTTGTTAGGCAGGTGCTAGGGTGTTGTTAGGATGTGGTGGGTGTTGCTAGGGTGTTTTGTGTAGTTACTGTGGTGTTATGAGTGATTGATAGGGCATTGCGACATATAGTAGCTAGTATGTTGTGGGTGTTGCTAGCGGGCTCTTAGGCAGTTGCTAGGGTGTTCTGTGTATTTTCTAGGGTGTTATCAATGTTTGCTATGTGGTTGCTAGACAGTTACTATGGTGATGTCCTGGGTGGTTGCAAGGGTTTTGCTAGACAGTTGCTAGGGTGTTCTAGGTGGTTGCTAGGGTGTTGTCTATGGTTGCCAGACCGTTACTATGGTGATGTTCTGGGTGGTTGTAAGGGTGTTGCTAGGACATTGTTATGTGGTTGCTAGGTAGTTTCTAGGGTATTCTGGATGGTTGCTAGGCAGTTGATAGGGTGTTCTGGGAGGTTGCTAGGGTGTTGTCGATGGTTGCTAGACAGTTACTATGGTGATGTTCTAAATGGTTGTAAGGGTGTTGCTAGGCACTTTCTAGGGTGTTTATGGGTGATTGCAAGGGTGGTTGCTTGGGTGTTGCTAGGACAGTTATGGAGTTGTTAGGCAGTTTCTAGGGTATTCTAGATGGTTGCTAGGTAGTTGCTAGGGTGTTCTGGGTGGTTGCTAGGGCGTTGCCGTGTAGGTCTCTGTAAGCACATTTTCTTGTTTGAGATTTGCTATATAAATAGAACGTTTCGGATCCAGTAAGCATCACAGTATCTGTGGTAGTTTGGGTCTGAGCTGGGAGAGTATGTTCTACAGGAGGATCTACAGAAACGGGACTGAGCCGAGATCTTCCACACACTCACAGCTCGATGGTAAACGTGTGTGTGTTTACCGTACCTCAGTCTGCACCATCGCCGGCCGCTGCGTGCGCAGCATTTTGACGGTCTGGAAGATGTCGACGGCGCCCTCGTAACGCATGCGCTCCAGCACGATACTGAGAGTGATGAACACACCTGTGCGCCCGACGCCCGCACTGAGAGAGAGAGAGAGAGAGAGAGAGAGAGAGAGAGAGAGAGAGAGAGAGAGAGATGTCTCAGGATTCAGCTCATGTTCGTCTACAAACACTGAGAGTGTGTGTGTGTGTGTGTGTGTGTGTGAGTATCATCATCACCTGCAGTGGACTGTGATTGGTCCATCCTGACCAAACTGCTCCTTGGTTTTATGCACCTGTCCAATGAAATCAATGAAACCCTCCCCCGACTTTGGAACACCTTGTTCTGGCCAATCGGTGAACTGGAACTGTCTGACGGTTCTGGACTGTCCGTCCTACGGAAAAAAAGACAACGAGTCTGAACATCTCCAGGTGTGAGAAACACTCTGAGTGCAGAGGCACATGATGTCATCGTCCTGAATATAAACACACACGTGACTTTCAATCTCTCTTCATGAGGATCCATGCATCTCATGTGCTTCTAGGGCAGTTGCTAGGGTGTTCTGGGTTGTTGCTAGGGTGTTGCTATGTAGGATCTCAGGTGTTTGCTATGGCATTGCTATGTGGTTGCAAGGCAGTTACTATGGTGTTATGGGTGGTTGCTCGGGTGTTGCTAGGCTGTACTGGGTGGTTGCTAGGCAGTTGCTATGATATAGTTATGTAGTTGCTCTTCATGAGGATCCATGCATCTCATGTGCTTCCAGGGCAGTTGCTAGGGTGTTCTGGGTTGTTGCTAGGGTGTTGCTATGTAGGATCTCAGGTGTTTGCTATGGCATTGCTATGTGGTTGCAAGGCAGTTACTATGGTGTTATGGGTGGTTGCTCGGGTGTTGCTAGGCTGTACTGGGGATTTATGCGTCTCATGTGCTTCTAGGGCATTGCTAGGGTGCTAAGATAAGATAAGATATAGTTTATTGTCCCCGAAGAGAAATTTGTTTTGGACTCTGTCCCTTCCGCAGTTTTTACAAAGACAACACAAAGTACAAAATACAAAGAACAGACGTCTCTCAACACATGTTCTCATATACATTAGATAGGTACGTATATAGTAGGCACATTAACACCTTTCATTGGCAGGCTTAAAAAAATTACAACCATTATTGATCACAGCTCCCATATTGCACATCCCCGATGGTGTACATATTGCAAGGGGGCTCCAGGGCAGTTGCTAGGGTGTTCTTGGTTGGTGCTAGGGTGTTGCTATGTAGGAGCTCAGTTGTTTGCTATGGTCTTGCTATGTGGTTGCAAGGCAGTTAATAGAGTGTTATAGGTGGCTGCAAGGGTGTTGCTAGGTTGTACTGGGTGGTTGCTAGGCAGTTGCTAGACAATTAAGTTCAGTGTTGGCTCGATCCAGGCTCAGGTCTGCTTCAGGACATCATCAGATGTTTAAACGGCGGCCTGTACTCACCCTGGCGTCGGTGACTTTGAACTCTCGCAGGATGTACTGTGGCATGTTGTACTCTGCCATGGGATCCACCACGAAGTACTGATAGCGAGCCGAACGCTCCGCCGGCCAGTACTGATGACACTTCTCCTGTCGACACACACACACACACACACGGTACAGAAACTGCTCGTTTCCTCATGAAAACTAGGATGAAAAATCTTCCTTGACCAGCTGTTATTTCTCCCTGACTGAGACGAGATGACATCGTTACGACTATATCAACATGCAATATCGTGATGAAGAAATACGAGACAAAAATATAGTTTAAAACATAATTTTTTTTACTAAAATCTCTCAATTTCTTCAACAAAAAAAAGAGCAGAAAAATAATATAGAATGTTTTTAAAAAGCCACTACGAGCTTTCATGCTGGGAAAAATGTATAAAAATGAAAAAAATGTGTCAAAGTGAGTTTGAGCTTAAAACCAGAACAAATATCTGGCGATGAAGTCAGAAATATAATCTTGTTTTCCCTTTGAATTCAGATTATTTTTCTGACTCCATTGGCAGATATTTGTTCTAGTTTCAAACACAAACTCACTTCATTTTAATACATGTTTGACTTAATATCTTCAGTCATTTTGCTTCTTCTCCAGTAAATGTCTCTTGATTTAAGAATGTTTAGATGTTAGTGTTGGAAAGCGAGACAGAAACACTGAGGAGGAACAGAGTTTGTTGCGGTGTAATAAACCCAAACATGATCTCGACTGGATTGTTTGTGATTGTTGTTGCTTTTTTGCTGTTGTTTAAATAGAAAAAAACATTTATTGGAATTACTCGCTGTTTTAGCTTTTAAAAGAAGCTTTCGAGATTTACCAGTTTTCATAATGTGTGTGTTAACTTATATGATAATATTATAAATCAGGAAATGGGTCAACATTCTGTTGATTTGTGCTTACAGGAGAAAGTGCAATAATTCTGATGAAACGTAAATATTGTAACGCATTACTTTTCATAGAAAGTAACTAAGTAACGCAATATTGTAACGCATTACTTTTAAAAGTAACTTTCGCCAACACTGACTAAATATGATAAAACTAAATCTGACACAGGAGTAAATTAAAAGCAGAAGAGCGCGTGTCTTGCTCTCAGGTCTCACCCGTCCCATCTCACGCAGTTTGGTCAGCATGACCACGATGGTGGAGTTGTGTTCCCACAGGGTCCTCCAGAAGTCCTCCGTTGTCTCCGCCAGCGGCCCCTGCGTGGCGATATACGCTTTCTGCTGCCTGAACACACACACACACACACACACACACTCAGATCAGCTCAGCTCAGGTTCTGCTCTCGTCTGATAGAGTCGGGGAACTCTACCTGTATCCGTCGATGAAGCTGGCGTTGATGTAGTCGGACCCTTCCAGGCCTCTGATTGGCTGCAGACACACGCGTGTGGTTTCGTACGGCATGATGTTCACCAGCCGGTTCTTGAACTTGTTGCAGGGCAGATTAGCACTGACGAACCTGGAGGTGTGTGCTTTAGTGTTGGCCAGACGCTGACGGACACAAACGCATCACAATAAGGACACGGATTTAAACTTATGCGTGTTATATGAAAGTCACATTAAAACTGTCCTGGAAACACTTCATGATTTTTTTGGCGGATTATCACAACAGTTTATGCACTTAGCAAACTTTCAATCTCAAATAGATGTGCATTTAATATGAAAATTCATCATAAAAATGTTAATTACATGTTCAAATTCCGGTGATCTAAACAAACAGTGTTATAATAAACAAATTAACAAACCATTGTTATTTATTGTATGGAAATGATGTACTGTATATACACTACTGGTCAAAGGTTTAGAATGAGTATAATTTTTAATGTTTCTGAAAGTCTCTTCTGCTCACCAAGACAGAAAAACAGTGTAATATTACTCCAGTGTAAATCAGCTGTTCTCTATGTGAATATACAGTATAGTGTAATTTATTCCTGTGATTTCCAGCATCATTACTCCAGTCTTCAGTGTCACATGATCCTTCAGAAATCACTCTAATATGAGGATCTGATGCTCAAGAAACGTTTATTACTCTTGTTGAGTGCATTTTTTGCTCCTTCATATTTGAATGTAAACTGTGATTCACTTCCATTTAAAAGTTTGTGGTCAAATTAAAATAAAAATACTTTTATTTAACAAGGACACATTCAATTGCTCAAATTGAGAGTAAAGACATTTATAATGTTACAAAAGATTTCAAATAAATGCTGTTCTTTTGAACTTTCAACACTGATAATAATCATAAATGTTTCTTGATCATCAGATCCTCATATTAGAGTGATTTCTGAAGGATCATGTGACACTGAAGACTGGAGTAATGATGCTGAAAATCACAGGAATAAATTACACTATACTGTATATTCACATAGAAAACAGCTGATCTACACTGGAGTAATATTACACTGTTTTACTGTATTTTTGTTCAAATACACGCAGCTTTGGTAAGTGGAAGAGACTAAATATCTTTATTAATTACAATCCTTTGACCAGTCGTCTATATTGTTGCTTGTTTATTGAGGAGAAACACATGTGATGTGTGAAAAAGTACAAAGTACAATATCACTACTATTAGTAGACTGAATTTTAATGTAAAGCTGCTTTAAAACAATCTGTATTGTAAAAAGCACTATATAAATAAAAGGTGACTTAATAAAGGGCCTTTACATTTGCCCAAAAATAGAAGTTTTTTTTGATGTTATTAAAAAACAAACAAGCAAGCCCAGTCCAGGTGAGAAAAAGTAACGGTAAAGTAATGTAACGAATAACTTTTCATAAAAAGTAACTAAGTAACGCAATTATTTACTTTTTTGGGAGTAACACAATATTGTAATGCATTACTTTTCATAAAAAGTAACTAAGTAACGCAATTATTTACTTTTTTGGGAGTAACACAATATTGTAACGCATTACTTTTCATAAAAAGTAACTAAGTAACACAATTAGTTACTTTTTTGGGAGTAACGGAATATTGTAATGCATTACTTTTCATAAAAAGTAACTAAGTAACGCAATTAGTTACCTTTTTGGGAGTAACACAATATTGTAATGCATTACTTTTCATAAAAAGTAACTAAGTAACGCAATTATTTACTTTTTTGGGAGTAACACAATATTGTAATGCATTACTTTTCATAAAACGTAACTAAGTAACGCAATTATTTACTTTTTTGGGAGTAACACAATATTGTAACGCATTACTTTTCATAAAAAGTAACTAAGTAACGCAATTATTTACTTTTTTGGGAGTAACACAATATTGTAACGCATTACTTTTCATAAAAAGTAACTAAGTAACGCAATTAGTTACTTTTTAGTAACACAATATTGTAATGCATTACTTTTCATAAAAAGTAACTAAGTAACGCAATTAGTTACTTTTTTGGGAGTAACACAATATTGTAACGCATTACTTTTCATAAAAAGTAACTAAGTAACGCAATTAGTTACTTTTTTGGGAGTAACACAATATTGTAATGCATTACTTTTCATAAAAAGTAACTAAGTAACGCAATTAGTTACTTTTTTGGGAGTAACACAATATTGTAATGCATTACTTTTCATAAAAAGTAACTAAGTAACGCAATTAGTTACTTTTTTGGGAGTAACACAATATTGTAATGCATTACTTTTCATAAAAAGTAACTAAGTAACGCAATTATTTACTTTTTTGGGAGTAACACAATATTGTAACGCATTACTTTTCATAAAAAGTAACTAAGTAACGCAATTATTTACTTTTTTGGGAGTAACACAATATTGTAACGCATTACTTTTCATAAAAAGTAACTAAGTAACGCAATTATTTACTTTTTTGGGAGTAACACAATATTGTAACGCATTACTTTTCATAAAAAGTAACTAAGTAACGCAATTAGTTACTTTTTTGGGAGTAACACAATATTGTAATGCATTACTTTTCATAAAAAGTAACTAAGTAACGCAATTAGTTACTTTTTTGGGAGTAACACAATATTGTAACGCATTACTTTTCATAAAAAGTAACTAAGTAACGCAATTAGTTACTTTTTTGGGAGTAACACAATATTGTAATGCATTACTTTTCATAAAAAGTAACTAAGTAACGCAATTAGTTACTTTTTTGGGAGTAACACAATATTGTAATGCATTACTTTTCATAAAAAGTAACTAAGTAACAGTTACTTTTTTGGGAGTAACACAATATTGTAATGCATTACTTTTCATAAAAAGTAACTAAGAAACACAATTAGTTTTTTGGGAGTAACACAATATTGTAATGCATTACTTTTAAAAGTAACTTTCCCCAACACTGACTAAATATAATTAAACTAAATCTGACACAGGACCAAATTGACTCGACTGAATCCCAGACTCCCGCACCTTGAACTCGAGCTCCATCCCGCTGACGTGTTCTCCGGGCTCCACCTGCGCGAGCGTCTGTATGTACGAGCACAGGCTCCGGGCCGCGACCTCAGTGTTCCCGCAGGCCACGGCCTCCAGCAGCGCCTCGTGGATGAAGCCGTACTGGTCCTCCGTCTGGACCATGTAGTTCCGCTGCGAGCGCATCAGGGTCACGTGACCGTACACGTCCACCACGCGCTCGTGGCGGAGCCGCTCCAGCATGGCGTCGATCACGATGAAGCAGCCGGTGCGGCCCACGCCGGCGCTGAGACACACACACACACACACACATGGAAAACAGCTGGGTTTTACTACGGTGTAATTTCCCTGATCTGTTTCTGGTTACTAATCCAAAAACTGTCTGATATCAGACTCACAGACGCTTCCATCTAACACAACAGAGAATCGTGGGATAGCTCATTAACCCTGAGTCTCGATCGCCCCCCGGTGGCTGGTCCCAGTATAGCTCATAAACCCTGAGTCTCGATCGCCCCCCGGTGGCTGGTCCCAGTATAGCTCATAAACCCTGAGTCTCGATCGCCCCCCGGTGGCTGGTCCCAGTATAGCTCATAAACCCTGAGTCTCGATCGCCCCCCGGTGGCTGGTCCCAGTATAGCTCATAAACCCTGAGTCTCGATCGCCCCCCGGTGGCTGGTCCCAGTATAGCTCATAAACCCTGAGTCTCGATCGCCCCCCTGTGGCTGGTCCCAGTATAGCTCATAAACCCTGAGTCTCGATCACCCCCCGGTGGCTGGTCCCAGTATAGCTCATAAACCCTGAGTCTCGATCGCCCCCCGGTGGCTGGTCCCAGTATAACTCACTAACCCTTGGTCTCGATCGCCTCCTGGTGGCTGGTCCCAGTATAGCTCATAAACCCTGAGTCTCGATCGCCCCCCGGTGTCTGGTCCCAGTATAGCTCATAAACCCTGAGTCTCGATCGCCCCCCGGTGGCTGGTCCCAGTATAGCTCATAAACCCTGAGTCTCGATCGCCCCCCGGTGGCTGGTCCCAGTATAGCTCATAAACCCTGAGTCTCGATCACCCCCCGGTGGCTGGTCCCAGTATAGCTCATAAACCCAGAGTCTCGATCGCCCCCCGGTGGCTGGTCCCAGTATAGCTCATAAACCCTGAGTCTCGATCGCCCCCCGGTGGCTGGTCCCAGTATAGCTCATAAACCCTGAGTCTCGATCGCCCCCCGGTGGCTGGTCCCAGTATAACTCATAAACCCTGAGTCTCGATCGCCCCCCGGTGGCTGGTCCCAGTATAGCTCATAAACCCTGAGTCTCGATCGCCCCCCGGTGGCTGGTCCCAGTATAACTCATAAACCCTGAGTCTCGATCGCCCCCCGGTGGCTGGTCCCAGTATATCAACACAAATCAGTGCAAGATGTCAGCGCCATATTAGGACTTTGGCGGCTTCACTTTTCACCGATGGAAGAGAGTGAAGGAGCGTCGGCCATCTTTACAGTCTGTGTGCTGAACATGCATGAGGAAACACTGCTGTCGTGTGTGTAATCTGACTGCTGTGAAAGTGTGTGTGTGAGTGTGTGTGTGTGTTTGTGAGTGAGTGTGTGTGTGTGTGTCTGTGTGTGTGTGTGTGTGTGTGAGAGAGAAAGTGAGTGTGTGAGTGTGTGTGTGAGAGAGAGTGAGTTTGAGTGAGTGAGTGAGTGAGTGTGTGTGTGTGTGTGTGTGTGTGTGTGTGTGTGTGTGTGTGAGTGAGTGAGTGAGTGAGTGAGTGTGTGTGTGTGTGTGTGTGTGTGTGTGTGTGAGCATCAGTATTGAGACCACAGACACTGGTCAGCAACATCACACTGCACTGCAGCAAAAGGTTGAATCTTCTGAACTTCAGCTCACTTTCACAAACCCTCGTCCTCAATGAACCCAGTGAATCCCAGCAGAACCTCAGCGAGTCAGAGACCCGGTCGAGACCAGAACCAGAACCTGAAGCTGTGAGGTTCAGATCAGCACCAGATGAATCTCTGATAGTGATGGGAGAAACTCTGAATCAATTGAACCAATTGGTTCTCAAAATGATTCCCTGTTTTGAGTCGGTGTGAGCGGCACACGCTGGCGACTCCTGCTGGTCAGACGGTGTAAATGCAACGAAAACTGCATGTAAAAACACCTTTTAAAAACAATTGCAAATGTTTTACTGAAAATAATTTTTTTAACAGCAATTAACAAACCATCTAATACCATTAAATATTAAGTGCATGTATAATATGTGCTTTTTAATTAAATTGTAGGGCTTTTTAAAGGCCAATAATAGTCTATTAACTACAACTCTTACTTCTTATTATACAAATGTGTGTTAAAAATGTCTACAAATGTCTAAAACTGATCTGAGATCAGGTATAAACCATATAAATGCTGGTTTATGGGTTCACCGAGATCATCGCCCTCATGAAACGCTTCTAATCAGTTATGACGAAACAAAATCCACGTTTACTGGAATCGTGCGACTCTGGATCTGAAGCGAATGATTCTCCAGCTTTGAAGCTTCACGAGCGTTTGTCTGAGCTTTGAGGACACACTAGTTTCGTCTCGAGAGCCTCAATAAAGGCAGGAATACAGCAACTCTTATATAACAAGCAGAAGAGTCTTACCCTGCAAGCTGGAGCGTTCGAGAGGGAATAACACACACACACACACACACACACACACACCAGTGTTTACAGCGCGTTCTCCTCGGCCCGGGGAAGACGCACGGATCGATGTGGAACAGAAGCGTTCGAGAGCCAGTGAAGGCTTGAACACCCGATGTACTCGCTGCATCACGAGAAGAACGGCCTCTACGCTAATGCTAATGCTAGTCTCTCCCTGTGAACGCCTCCTCTTCTCCTCTGTCCAGACACACATCATCAATGATTCCAGTTCACATCCGCGGAAACAACTACAAATTCTGTATTATACATTTTTAAGGCCAGACAAGCAATTTGGCGATGTCACTTTGTAAAGAAAGACACGCCTGCGCACACATATATATATTCAAACACACACACACCTATAGACTAAACACGTGATACGCATGTGCGCCGCCAGCGTTTCACAGATTTATGTTTTTGAAGTTTACACAGAGATGATCACGTTTTCTAAACTTGGACCCTGTTTCAGAGTGTGTGTTCTCGAGCTCAAACACTGTGTGTGAATGAGCGGCCGGAACACATTAACAGTGTCTGTCTTCAGTAGAGCGGTGTCGTGTTAGCGGCCGCTAAGTTAATCACTAATGATCTTTACAATGGAAGTGAATCAATCAAAACTAACTTTATCTGGACAATAACTTTATTCTAGATCTGCTGTAAAGCCTAAACACTCTGTTACTTTAAAGGTGACATATCATGAAAATCTGGCTTTCTCCGTGTGTGAGCGCTGTAATCGGGTTCTTCTGCCGACACAGAACACGTGATCAGTGAAACCCAGTAACTGTGTTCTGGTGAGGCTTTCTCTGAGAGCATGTCTAAAATAAGCCGATCAGATTTCTCTCCTTCTGCCGTATGAAGAGGATCTTATTATAATATTCCCGGCCCTTAATCTGCACGTTTACACACACCAGTGACCAGTGGGTTCGGCGAGCGCCAACAGAGACCAGTTCTAACGCACTGGAGAAGATCCAGCAAAGCCTGAAACTGTTCTGTGGTCGAGCACAGACGACACTGAACACTATTGACCAGAACATGTCAGCGCTGTCTTATAAACACCTCAGGAACTGTGGACACTTGTGGAAGAGTTCAACATGATGAGGAGATGATCAGTGTAACTCCACAACAACTACAGAAATGTCTCCGCTAACATTCAGAAACGTGTAAAAGTGAAGCTCTCCCTGAGTCTCTCCGTAAGGCTGCACTCGCTGCTGTTACTCCTGACTCTGGATCAGTGAGATCGGCCTGTGTTGTTATTGCCGGAGTCTCTGAAGCTCCGCCCTCTTCTGAACGGAGGCGGAGCTAAAGCTCATTTGCATTTAAAGGCACACACACTAAAACGACGTGTTTTTGCTCACAGCTATCTTATCATGTCTTTCGCCGTAAAGCTGTTTGAGGCAGCCCGTATTGTTAAAAGCGCTGTATAAATGAAGGTTGGACTTGAACTCTGACCTGCAGTGGACGATGACGGGGCCGGCGTCGGGAGGGTTGCAGGCTTTCACCCTGCGGAGGAAGGCCAGGAATGGAGTGGGATATTCGGGAACGCCGTGGTCGGGCCAAGCTGTAAACTGGAACTGTCGGACTTCCCTCCTCTCGTTACAGCCGTTCTGATGAGGAAAACACCAGGGTCAGAGTCACTCACACACACACACACACACACACACACACACACACACACACACTGTACAACACACACACACACACTGTACGACACACACACACACACACACACACACACTGTACGACACACACACACACACACACACACTGTACGACACACACACTGCCTTTCCTCTAGTTACACCCGTTCTGATGAGGAAAACACCAGGGTCAGAGTCTCACACACACACACACACACACACACACACTGCCTCTCGTTACACCCGTTTTGATGAGGAAAACACCAGGGTCAGACTCCCTCACACACACACACACAAACACACACACTGTACGACACACACACACACACACACACACACACACTGCCTCTCATTACACCCGTTCTGATGAGGAAAACACCAGGGTCAGAGTCCCTCACACACACACACACACACTGTACGACACACACACACACACACACACACACTGCTTCTCGTTACACCCGTTCTGATGAGGAAAACACCAGGGTCAGAGTCACTCTTGATGAGAATCCTAGCAGACGGTCTGTTATGCCTTACACAGTGGAGGAAGACAGCGCACGTGTATCAGCATCAGTGAACTGGACCAGTGCGTTATCTCTTAAAGGGACAGCAGCCTAATATTACTGCAGTCTGGGTATTTAATGTTAATCAAACAACAAAAGACAAGGAAATCACTCAAAGCTCTGGATTGAATAGCTTTTGTAACTTTTAAAAACTTTTGCAAAGTTATTTTACATTTGATCACTTTATTCAATTTCTGTACCTGAAAACTACCGTTAGACCTGCCTGAAAAACCTGAAAAGAACAGTTTATTTTATTAGTATCTATTGTATATTGTATTTATTTGTGCTGTTGCTTGTAGTTTGATTATTTGTTCTTATTTTCTTTATTTTTATTTCAACAGTAGTCCTCTTTTCCCTGAACACAGCACACACCGAACCTTGCAGAAACCGTGAACTTAAACCATGAGACTAACCGAACCGTGAGCTGTGTAAACCGTGAGCTGTGTAAACCGTGAGCTGTGTAAACCGTGAGCTGTGTAAACCGTGAGCTGTGTAAACCGTGAGCTGTGTAAACCGTGAGCTTTGTAAACCGCGAGCTGTGTAAACCGTGAGCTGTGTAAACCGCGAGCTGTGTAAACCGCGAGCTGTGTAAACCGTGAGCTGTGTAAACCGTGAGCTGTGTAAACCGTGAGCTGTGTAAACCGTGAGCTTTGTAAACCGTGAGCTGTGTAAACCGTGAGCTGTGTAAACCGTGAGCTGTGTAAACCGTGAGCTACGTAAACCGTACGCTGTGTAAACCGTGAGCTGTGTAAACCGTGAGCTGTGTAAACCGTGAGCTTTGTAAACCGCGAGCTGTGTAAACCGTGAGCTGTGTAAACCGTGAGCTTTGTAAACCGTGAGCTTTGTAAACCGTGAGCTACGTAAACCGTGAGCTGTGTAAACCGTGAGCTGTGTAAACCGTGAGCTGTGTAAACCGTGAGCTGTGTAAACCGTGAGCTTTGTAAACCGTGAGCTTTGTAAACCGTGAGCTGTGTAAACCGTGAGCTGTGTAAACCGTGAGCTGTGTAAACCGTGAGCTACGTAAACCGTGAGCTGTGTAAACCGTGAGCTGTGTAAACCGTGAGCTGTGTAAACCGTGAGCTTTGTAAACCGCAAGCTGTGTAAACCGTGAGCTGTGTAAACCGTGAGCTTTGTAAACCGTGAGCTTTGTAAACCGTGAGCTACGTAAACCGTGAGCTGTGTAAACCGTGAGCTGTGTAAACCGCGAGCTGTGTAAACCGTGAGCTTTGTAAACCGCGAGCTGTGTAAACCGTGAGCTGTGTAAACCGTGATCTTTGTAAACCGTGAGCTGTGTAAACCGTGAGCTACGTAAACCGTGAGCTGTGTAAACCGTGAGCTATGTAAACCGTGAGCTATGTAAACCGTGAGCTGTGTAAACCGCGAGCTGTGTAAACCGTGAGCTGTGTAAACCGTGAGCTGTGTAAACCGTGAGCTATGTAAACCGTGAGCTGTGTAAACCGCGAGCTGTGTAAACCGTGAGATGTGTAAACCGTGAGCTGTGTAAACCGTGAGCTATGTAAACCGTGAGCTGTGTAAACCGTGAGCTTTGTAAACCGCGAGCTGTGTAAACCGTGAGCTGTGTAAACCGTGATCTTTGTAAACCGTGAGCTGTGTAAACCGTGAGCTACGTAAACCGTGAGCTGTGTAAACCGTGAGCTATGTAAACCGTGAGCTATGTAAACCGTGAGCTGTGTAAACCGCGAGCTGTGTAAACCGTGAGCTGTGTAAACCGTGAGCTGTGTAAACCGTGAGCTATGTAAACCGTGAGCTATGTAAACCGTGAGCTGTGTAAACCGCGAGCTACGTAAACCGTGAGCTGTGTAAACCGCGAGCTACGTAAACCGTGAGCTGTGTAAATCGTGAGCTGTGTAAACCGTGAGCTACGTAAACCGTGAGCTGTGTAAACCGTGAGCTATGTAAACCGTGAGCTATGTAAACCGCGAGCTACGTAAACCGTGAGCTGTGTAAACCATGAGCTATGTAAACCGTGAGCTGTGTAAACCGTGAGCTGTGTAAACCGTGAGCTGTGTAAACCGTGAGCTGTGTAAACCGTGAGCTGTGTAAACCGTGAGCTGTGTAAACCGTGAGCTACGTAAACCGTGAGCTGTGTAAACCGTGAGCTACGTAAACCGTGAGCTGTGTAAACCGCGAGCTACGTAAACCGTGAGCTACGTAAACCGTGAGCTGTGTAAACCGTGAGCTGTGTAAACCGTGAGCTATGTAAACCGTGAGCTACGTAAACCGCGAGCTACGTAAACCGTGAGCTACGTAAACCGTGAGCTGTGTAAACCGTGAGCTGTGTAAACCGTGAGCTACGTAAACCGTGAGCTGTGTAAACCGTGAGCTATGTAAACCGTGAGCTATGTAAACCGCGAGCTACGTAAACCGTGAGCTACGTAAACCGCGAGCTGTGTAAACCGTGAGCTACATAAACCGTGAGCTACGTAAACCGTGAGCTGTGTAAACCGTGAGCTATGTAAACCGTGAGCTGTGTAAACCGTGAGCTGTGTAAACCGCGAGCTGTGTAAACCGTGAGCTGTGTAAACCGTGAGCTGTGTAAACCGTGAGCTGTGTAAACCGCGAGCTGTGTAAACCGTGAGCTGTGTAAACCGTGAGCTGTGTAAACCGTGAGCTGTGTAAACCGTGAGCTGTGTAAACCGTGAGCTATGTAAACCGTGAGCTATGTAAACCGTGAGCTGTGTAAACCGTGAGCTGTGTAAACCGTGAGCTGTGTAAACCGTGAGCTACGTAAACCGTGAGCTGTGTAAACCGTGAGCTGTGTAAACCGTGAGCTGTGTAAACCGTGAGCTATGTAAACCGTGAGCTGTGTAAACCGTGAGCTGTGTAAACCGTGAGCTATGTAAACCGTGAGCTATGTAAACCGTGAGCTATGTAAACCGCGAGCTACGTAAACCGTGAGCTATGTAAACCGTGAGCTGTGTAAACCGCGAGCTACGTAAACCGTGAGCTGTGTAAATCGTGAGCTGTGTAAACCGCGAGCTGTGTAAACCGTGAGCTATGTAAACCATGAGCTATGTAAACCGTGAGCTATGTAAACCGCGAGCTACGTAAACCGTGAGCTGTGTAAACCGTGAGCTGTGTAAACCGTGAGCTGTGTAAACCGTGAGCTATGTAAACCGTGAGCTGTGTAAACCGCGAGCTACGTAAACCGTGAGCTGTGTAAACCGTGAGCTGTGTAAACCGTGAGCTGTGTAAACCGTGAGCTGTGTAAACCGTGAGCTGTGTAAACCGTGAGCTGTGTAAACCGTGAGCTGTGTAAACCGTGAGCTATGTAAACCGTGAGCTGTGTAAACCGTGAGCTGTGTAAACCGCTGCACTCATATAGACGTGAGCGCGCCTCACCTTATGCAGAGAGAAGGTTCGCACACAGAACGTGGCCAGCTCCATGGTGTCCAGCAGAGAGACCTGAACCGCCCCGTACGAGTCCGTGCCGCGGCTGGGCCAGTACTGGTCACACTTGATCTAAACCAGAGGAACACATGACATGAAGATCAGCTGAACCAAATCATCCGTTAGTAATGTATTGATGGCTCAATCGCACTGAAAGCCTTCATGTAAACTGCTTAATCGACCCGATTGAGCTCGATGTAGAAATAGCGTAATGATGTAGCAATAGCGTAATGATGTAGCAATAGCGTGATGATGTAGCAATAGCGTAATGATGTAGCAATAGCGTAATGATGTAGCAATAGCGTGATGATGTAGCAATAGCGTAATGATGTAGCAATAGCGTAATGATGTAGCAATAGCGTGATGATGTAGCAATAGTGTAATGTTGTAGCAATAGCGTAATGATGTAGCAATAGCGTAATGATGTAGCAATAGTGTAATGTTGTAGCAATAGCGTGATGATGTAGCAATAGCGTGATGATGTAGCAATAGCGTAGCAATAGCGTAATGATGTAGCAATAGCGTAATGATGTACCAATAGCGTAATGATGTAGGAAATAGCGTAATGATGTAGCAATAGTGTAATGTTGTAGCAATAGCGTGATGATGTAGCAATAGCGTGATGATGCAGCAATAGCGTAATGATGTAGCAATAGCGTAATGATGTAGCAATAGCGTAATGATGTAGCAATAGCGTGATCATGTAGCAATAGCGTGATGATGTAGCAATAGCGTAATGATGTAGCAATAGCGTAATGATGTAGCAATAGCGTAATGATGTAGCAATAGCGTGATGATGTAGCAAGAGCGTAATGATGTAGCAATAGTGTGATGATGTAGCAATAGCGTGATGATGTAGCAAGAGCGTAATGATGTAGCAATAGCGTGATGATGTAGCAATAGCGTGATGATGTAGCAATAGCGTGATGATGCAGTAGCAATAGCGTAATGATGTAGCAATAGCGTAATGATGTAGCAATAGCGTGATCATGTAGCAATAGCGTGATGATGTAGCAATAGCGTAATGATGTAGCAATAGCGTAATGATGTAGCAATAGCGTAATGATGTAGCAATAGCGTAATGATGTAGCAATAGCGTAATGATGTAGCAATAGCGTGATGATGTAGCAAGAGCGTAATGATGTAGCAATAGCGTGATGATGTAGCAATAGCGTGATGATGTAGCAAGAGCGTAATGATGTAGCAATAGCGTGATGATGTAGCAATAGCGTAATGATGTAGCAATAGCGTGATGATGTAGCAAGAGCGTAATGATGTAGCAATAGCGTGATGATGTAGCAAGAGCGTAATGATGTAGCAATAGCGTAATGATGTAGCAAGAGCGTAATGATGTAGCAATAGCGTGATGATGTAGGAATAGCGTGATGATGTAGCAATAGCGTGATGATGTAGCAATAGCGTAATGATGTAGCAATAGCGTGATGATGTAGCAATAGCGTGATGATGTAGCAATAGTGTGATGACGTGTTACTGCTGTTCTTCCTGTTGAATATGTAAGGAATAATGTTCATCCCGCCGGTTGTTATCTCAGAATAACCCCCGACAGGGTGATGAAGACCCCGACGCGAAGCGGACATTTAAGAGATACGGTATACAGTCAGAACACTTATTACACAGCATTTCAACACAAATAATTATGCAGATCAGAGATATTGATTTCAGATTAAACTGTTTTAAAATCGTACCTGTTTGTATTTTATAATCCAACAGTGTACAAAACAATAGTCATAAAATGGCCGCCGCTGCGTTTGTATGAAACAAGAGAGAGCGAGTCCACGATACTGGATGGCATAATTAAATAACTGTACACAAAATATTGATTCGAGTTTTAATATTTTATTAGCTCACCAAAAGCAAAACTTCCACGAAGAGAAACGGTTTCTAGCGAGTGTATAGCACTGGAATCAAGTATTCCACAGAGCCGTGTAATAAAGTGTGGTATAAACGAGCTCATCCTATAATCCTCTGTCTCTGCGTGTGTGAAGTGGAGCCGGACGACGGCCACCAGTGACGCTTCAGACTCTCACACACACTGGGTTTGGGCAGTTTTACTGTGTGATCAATATAAGCAGCGGCACAACGGCTCTTAAATAACAATGTTTAATTTACATAGTGCCTTTCTCGAGCTCAAGCACACTTCACAATAACAGTGAAGAACAAGCAGTGAGTTCATGATAACTGGCCTCTCTCTCTCACCCGCGACTTCTCCTCGAGTTTGGTCATCATGACGACGGACGCGGCTCTCTGCTCCCACACCATCCTCCAGAAGTCCCCGAAGCTCTCGGGCAGCGGCCCCTGCGTGGCGATGTACGCGTTCTGCTTCCGGTAGCCGTCGATGTAGTTCGCGTTGATGTAGTCACTACCCATAATGCCTAGCGGAGAGAACAGGGAATGTGAAGTGTGTCGTTTATATAGTCTTCCAGTAGATCATTGACTCATGGAAGAGCAGAACGCCCGGTCCGGACACACACACACACACACACAGTCTGATGAGAGTCGGTGTTCGTACCGTCTGCCGGCGCGAGGATCACACGCGTGTGGTCGTACGCGATCACGTTAGCGTAGCGGTTCTTCGGCTTGTTCACCTCCAGGTTCGAGTGTTCCCATGTGAACTGCTGACCAGGATCAATCGACTGAGAGAGAGAAAGAGAGAGAGTGAGAGAGTTATCTATCTATCTATCTATCTATCTATCTATCTATCTATCTATCTATCTATCTATCTATCTATCTATCTATCTATCTATCTATCTTTCTGCTGTTTGATGTCTGTTTTGTTCTTTTGCAGCATGAGACAGTAAGAGGACTCACACCAAACGTGTCTAACAGCATTAACTTAACACCTTCCTATCCACACACACACACACACACACACTCACACACACACACACACACACACACACACAACTCTAGTTAATAAAACACCGTCTGAAGAACAGAACATGTGATGAAGGTCACTCTATCTCCCCTGTCTCTCTGCGTTCCTCACCTCGTACTCCTGTGACAGATGCAGGTTGTCGTTGGCCTTCAGGCGCTCCGTGTGTTCGGGCAGATCAGAGATGGGGATGGGGGGGTGACTCATCATACCTGCGGGGGCAAAGGTCACAGCTGTCGTCATGGAGATGGCCTACAAACCCGTATGTGCGTGTGAATCACACATGAGTGCCGTCACCAGAAGAGCTGGAACACCTAGTAAGTGTCACAACACCTCGTGTGCTGCCTACAGAGGCTATAATTCAATCCTGATAAGTTATTCTGCCTTCTTCAATCTCAGAATGCTCAGTGAAGGAATCATTCTGTTATTGTGAGAATGCTGACTATTAGTGTTTAAAAGTGTTTATTGACAAGCTTTTTCTTCTGAATTAAACTAGACTAAAATTCCCAGACTTTTAATAAACTAAAACTTAAAGGTGAAGTATGTTGTTTCTGCAGCACTAGTGGCTCTAGCAGAAATACAAAAATACTGCATATTTTAGCCACTCCCCTAACTCTCCCTCTGCTACAGTAGCCACTCCCCTAACTCTCCCTTTGCTACAGTAGCCACTCCCCAAACTCTCCCTCTGCTACAGTAGCCACTCCCCTAACTCTCCCTCTGCTACAGTACCCACTCCCCAAACTCTTAGTCTGCTACAGTAGCCACTCCCCAAACTCTCCCTCTGCTACAGTAGCCACTCCCCAAACTCTCCCTCTGCTACAGTAGCCACTCCCAAACTCTCCCTTTGCTACAGTAGCCACTCCCCAAACTCTCAGTCTGCTACAGTAGCCACGCCCCCAACTCTCCCTCTGCTACAGTAGCCACTCCCCTAACTCTCCCTCTGCTACAGTAGCCACTCCCGAACTCTCCCTTTGCTACAGTAGCCACTCCCCAAACTCTCAGTCTGCTACAGTAGCCATGCCCCCAACTCTCCCTCTGCTACAGTAGCCACTCCCCAAACTCTCCCTCTGCTACAGTAGCCACTCCCCAAACTCTCCCTCTGCTACAGTAGCCACTCCCCAAACTCTCCCTCTGCTACAGTAGCCACTCCCCAAACTCTCCCTCTGCTACAGTATCCACTCCCCAAACTCTCCCTCTGCTACAGTAGCCACTCCTCAAACTCTCCCTCTGCTACAGTAGCCACACCCCTAACTCTCCCTCTGCTACAGTAGCCACTCCCTAAACTCTGTCTGCTACAGTAGCCACTCCCCTAACTCTCCCTCTGCTACAGTAGCTACTCCCAAACTCTCCCTTTGCTACAGTAGCCACTCCCCAAACTCTCAGTCTGCTACAGTAGCCACGCCCCCAACTATCCCTCTGCTACAGTAGCCACTCCCCAAACTCTCCCTCTGCTACAGTAGCCACTCCCCAAACTCTCAGTCTGCTACAGTAGCCACGCCCCCAACTCTCCCTCTGCTACAGTAGCCACTCCCCAAACTCTCCCTCTGCTACAGTAGCCACTCCCCTAACTCTCCCTCTGCTACAGTATCCACTCCCCAAACTCTCCCTCTGCTACAGTAGCCACTCCCCTAACTCTCCCTCTGCTACAGTAGCCACTCCCCTAACTCTCCCTCTGCTACAGTAGCCACTCCCCTAACTCTCCCTCTGCTACAGTAGCCACTCCCCTAACTCTCAGTCTGCTACACTAGCCACTCCCCAAACTCTCAGTCTGCTACAGTAGCCACTCCCCAAACTCTCCCTCTGCTACAGTAGCCACTCCCCAAACTCTCACTCTGCTACAGTAGCCACTCCCCAAACTCTCAGTCTGCTACAGAAGCCACTCCCCAAACTCTCCCTCTGCTACAGTAGCCACTCCCCAAACTCTCCCTCTGCTACAGTAGCCACTCCCCAAACTCTCAGTCTGCTACAGTAGCCACTCCCCAAACTCTCCCTCTGCTACAGTAGCCACTCCCCAAACTCTCCCTCTGCTACAGTAGCCACTCCCCTAACTCTCCCTCTGCTACAGTAGCCACTCCCCAAACTCTCCCTCTGCTACAGTAGCCACTCCCCAAACTCTCCCTCTGCTACAGTAGCCACTCCCCTAACTCTTAGTCTGCTACAGTAGCCACTCCCCTAACTCTCCCTCTGCTACAGTAGCCACTCCCCAAACTCTCCCTCTGCTACAGTAGCCACTCCCCTAACTCTCCCTCTGCTACAGTAGCCACTCCCCAAACTCTCCCTCTGCTACAGTAGCCACTCCCAAACTCTCCCTTTGCTACAGTAGCCACTCCCCAAACTCTCAGTCTGCTACAGTAGCCACGCCCCCAACTCTCCCTCTGCTACAGTAGCCACTCCCAAACTCTCCCTTTGCTACAGTAGCCACTCCCCAAACTCTCAGTCTGCTACAGTAGCCACGCCCCCAACTCTCCCTCTGCTACAGTAGCCACTCCCCAAACTCTCCCTCTGCTACAGTAGCCACTCCCCAAACTCTCCCTCTGCTACAGTAGCCACTCCCCAAACTCTCAGTCTGCTACAGTAGCCACTCCCCAAACTCTCCCTCTGCTACAGTAGCCACTCCCCAAACTCTCCCTCTGCTACAGTAGCCACTCCCCAAACTCTCAGTCTGCTACAGTAGCCACTCCCCAAACTCTCCCTCTGCTACAGTAGCCACTCCCCAAACTCTCCCTCTGCTACAGTAGCCACTCCCCAAACTCTCAGTCTGCTACAGTAGCCACTCCCCAAACTCTCCCTCTGCTACAGTAGCCACTCCCCAAACTCTCCCCCTGCTACAGTAGCCACTCCCCTAACTCTCCCTCTGCTACATTAGCCACTCCCCAAACTCTCCCTCTGCTACAGTAGCCACTCCCCAAACTCTCCCTCTGCTACAGTAGCCACTCCCCTAACTCTTAGTCTGCTACAGTAGCCACTCCCCTAACTCTCCCTCTGCTACAGTAGCCACTCCCCAAACTCTCCCTCTGCTACAGTAGCCACTCCCCTAACTCTCCCTCTGCTACAGTAGCCACTCCCCAAACTCTCCCTCTGCTACAGTAGCCACTCCCAAACTCTCCCTTTGCTACAGTAGCCACTCCCCAAACTCTCAGTCTGCTACAGTAGCCACGCCCCCAACTCTCCCTCTGCTACAGTAGCCACTCCCAAACTCTCCCTTTGCTACAGTAGCCACTCCCCAAACTCTCAGTCTGCTACAGTAGCCACGCCCCCAACTCTCCCTCTGCTACAGTAGCCACTCCCCAAACTCTCCCTCTGCTACAGTAGCCACTCCCCAAACTCTCCCTCTGCTACAGTAGCCACTCCCCAAACTCTCCCTCTGCTACAGTAGCCACTCCCCAAACTCTCCCTCTACTACAGTATCCACTCCCCAAACTCTCCCTCTGCTACAGTAGCCACTCCTCAAACTCTCCCTCTGCTACAGTAGCCACACCCCTAACTCTCCCTCTGCTACAGTAGCCACTCCCCAAACTCTCAGTCTGCTACAGTAGCCACTCCCCTAACTCTCCCTCTGCTACAGTAGCCACTCCCAAACTCTCCCTTTGCTACAGTAGCCACTCCCCAAACTCTCAGTCTGCTACAGTAGCCACGCCCCCAACTCTCCCTCTGCTACAGTAGCCACTCCCCAAACTCTCCCTCTGCTACAGTAGCCACTCCCCAAACTCTCAGTCTGCTACAGTAGCCACGCCCCCAACTCTCCCTCTGCTACAGTAGCCACTCCTCAAACTCTCCCTCTGCTACAGTAGCCACACCCCTAACTCTCCCTCTGCTACAGTAGCCACTCCCCAAACTCTCAGTCTGCTACAGTAGCCACTCCCCTAACTCTCCCTCTGCTACAGTAGCCACTCCCAAACTCTCCCTTTGCTACAGTAGCCACTCCCCAAACTCTCAGTCTGCTACAGTAGCCACGCCCCCAACTCTCCCTCTGCTACAGTAGCCACTCCCCAAACTCTCCCTCTGCTACAGTAGCCACTCCCCAAACTCTCAGTCTGCTACAGTAGCCACGCCCCCAACTCTCCCTCTGCTACAGTAGCCACTCCCCTAACTCTCCCTCTGCTACAGTATCCACTCCCCAAACTCTCCCTCTGCTACAGTAGCCACTCCCCTAACTCTCCCTCTGCTACAGTAGCCACTCCCCTAACTCTCCCTCTGCTACAGTAGCCACTCCCCTAACTCTCAGTCTGCTACACTAGCCACTCCCCAAACTCTCAGTCTGCTACTGTAGCCACTCCCCAAACTCTCCCTCTGCTACAGTAGCCACTCCCCAAACTCTCCCTCTGCTACAGTAGCCACTCCCCAAACTCTCAGTCTGCTACAGTAGCCACTCCCCAAACTCTCCCTCTGCTACAGTAGCCACTCCCCAAACTCTCCCTCTGCTACAGTAGCCACTCCCCAAACTCTCAGTCTGCTACAGTAGCCACTCCCCAAACTCTCCCTCTGCTACAGTAGCCACTCCCCAAACTCTCCCTCTGCTACAGTAGCCATTCCCCTAACTCTCCCTCTGCTACAGTAGCCACTCCCCAAACTCTCCCTCTGCTACAGTAGCCACTCCCCAAACTCTCAGTCTGCTACAGTAGCCACTCCCCAAACTCTCCCTCTGCTACAGTAGCCACTCCCCAAACTCTCCCTCTGCTACAGTAGCCACTCCCCTAACTCTCCCTCTGCTACAGTAGCCACTCCCCAAACTCTCAGTCTGCTACAGTAGCCACTCCCCTAACTCTCCCTCTGCTACAGTAGCCACTCCCAAACTCTCCCTTTGCTACAGTAGCCACTCCCCAAACTCTCAGTCTGCTACAGTAGCCACGCCCCCAACTCTCCCTCTGCTACAGTAGCCACTCCCCAAACTCTCCCTCTGCTACAGTAGCCACTCCCCAAACTCTCAGTCTGCTACAGTAGCCACGCCCCCAACTCTCCCTCTGCTACAGTAGCCACTCCTCAAACTCTCCCTCTGCTACAGTAGCCACACCCCTAACTCTCCCTCTGCTACAGTAGCCACTCCCCAAACTCTCAGTCTGCTACAGTAGCCACTCCCCTAACTCTCCCTCTGCTACAGTAGCCACTCCCAAACTCTCCCTTTGCTACAGTAGCCACTCCCCAAACTCTCAGTCTGCTACAGTAGCCACGCCCCCAACTCTCCCTCTGCTACAGTAGCCACTCCCCAAACTCTCCCTCTGCTACAGTAGCCACTCCCCAAACTCTCAGTCTGCTACAGTAGCCACGCCCCCAACTCTCCCTCTGCTACAGTAGCCACTCCCCTAACTCTCCCTCTGCTACAGTATCCACTCCCCAAACTCTCCCTCTGCTACAGTAGCCACTCCCCTAACTCTCCCTCTGCTACAGTAGCCACTCCCCTAACTCTCCCTCTGCTACAGTAGCCACTCCCCTAACTCTCAGTCTGCTACACTAGCCACTCCCCAAACTCTCAGTCTGCTACTGTAGCCACTCCCCAAACTCTCCCTCTGCTACAGTAGCCACTCCCCAAACTCTCCCTCTGCTACAGTAGCCACTCCCCAAACTCTCAGTCTGCTACAGTAGCCACTCCCCAAACTCTCCCTCTGCTACAGTAGCCACTCCCCAAACTCTCCCTCTGCTACAGTAGCCACTCCCCAAACTCTCAGTCTGCTACAGTAGCCACTCCCCAAACTCTCCCTCTGCTACAGTAGCCACTCCCCAAACTCTCCCTCTGCTACAGTAGCCATTCCCCTAACTCTCCCTCTGCTACAGTAGCCACTCCCCAAACTCTCCCTCTGCTACAGTAGCCACTCCCCAAACTCTCAGTCTGCTACAGTAGCCACTCCCCAAACTCTCCCTCTGCTACAGTAGCCACTCCCCAAACTCTCCCTCTGCTACAGTAGCCACTCCCCAAACTCTCCCTCTGCTACAGTAGCCACTCCCCAAACTCTCCCTCTGCTACAGTAGCCATTCCCCTAACTCTCCCTCTGCTACAGTAGCCACTCCCCAAACTCTCCCTCTGCTACAGTAGCCACTCCCCAAACTCTCCCTCTGCTACAGTAGCCACTCCCCAAACTCTCCCTCTGCTACAGTAGCCACTCCCCAAACTCTCCCTCTGCTACAGTAGCCACTCCCCAAACTCTCCCTCTGCTACAGTAGCCACTCCCCAAACTCTCCCTCTGCTACAGTAGCCACTCCCCTAACTCTCCCTCTGCTACAGTAGCCACTCCCCAAACTCTCCCTCTGCTACAGTAGCCACTCCCCTAACTCTCCCTCTGCTACAGTAGCCACGCCCCTAACTCTCCCTTTGCTACAGTAGCCACACCCCAAGTGTGTGTGTGTGTGTGTGTGTGTGTGTGTGTGTGTGCACCTGGTGTCTGGAAGTTGATGCGTCTCATCTCCACGGGGTCGGTGGGATGATGAGCCATCATCTCAGCATTGTTCAGCAAACATTTGGTTCCCGGCTCAGAGTCCTTGCGTTTGCTAATGAGTGAAAACACACACACACACACACACACACACACACAATGTGGAGAAACTCCAGTTATTAACTAGACTCAATGGACAGAAATCAAATCAAAGAGCAGAACAACATAAATAAAGCCGGCTAGAGGGATTGAGTGCGACTGAAGGTGTTCTGTAAGAGCTTTAATCTTCTCTCAGTGACGAGGATCAGATCTCACTTACCTGTCGGGTTTACTGGAGTCCCATCAGACGCCGCGCCGTGCACACACACACACACACACACACACACACACACACACACAGAGAGAGAGAGAGAGAGAGAGAGAGAGAGAGAGAGAGAAAGAGAGAAATCAATATAGTGCATTAGCATGCAGCCGCTACATGACACCTGCTGATAACGCTCTCCTTCATCGGGGACAGTTTAACGGATCCCGCGGGACTGGATTGTTCCGGAGTAAATGGGAGAGGGCCGGGATGGATCAGACCCAAGGGTTTATCATCCGGACCGGCCCAATGTTTCCGCTCCCCCCACCCGGCACCAGCAAGGTCACGCCAGCAATCTGGCAAACACAGATCCCTGCCACAGCGTGTGTGTGTGTGTGTGTGTGTGTGTTAGTGTGTGAGTGAGTATGTGTGTGTGTGAGTGTGTGTATGTGTGTGTGTGTGAGAGTGCATGCAGGTTTGTGTGTGTGTGAGTGTGTAATGTAATACGTAAACTAATGTTAACTAATGAACCTTATTGTAAAGTGTTAACGAGTTTTCATTTGTGTCACGTTTTAGTCAGTGTGATTCCAGAGTCTTCATCATCCTCATCATCATCATCATCACTGCACTATTATTCATTATTACTAAACTCCTGCATGTCTGTGTTAACGGAGTCTTTTCTCATTCACAGGTTTAGCAGAACTCATCATAGTTGGGCAAACTTATATAACGGTGAACGGAAAAATATCACATTTTTGCATTCACATTTCCTCCAAACGCAAAAGACAATGTCCAGGATAGAGTTCATATGAGACGGAGCGGCTGAATTAGAAACACACGAAGCAGAATGAACTAGTTCACCGTAATTAAATGTTAAGGTAAGAAAACACAATGTATAGTTTTGTAAACATTCATCTTTAAAATGAAAATATAAAAAGCTTTGCTAGATGTTCAATGTTAATAACTGGAAATGTGTCATCATCACAGTCTGTGGAAAGTAAGTGTTCAACATTTACTAATACATGATTAAAATCAAAAGTTAATGGACCTAATGAACTAACATTAAACAGTTTTATTAACAAAGTGAAAAAAAATTCACATATACACATAATGTACATGACATCTATGAAATATGATAAGATAACTGAATGTGTCCTCTTGCCTGCGGTCCTCGTGATCAGTGAGCGGCTCGTCTGATCGAGTCTTCAGCTCAGACTCTATTATCTTCCTGTCCAGAAATAGCTGCTTCCTACATATTTAATCACACGTTATTCTCTCTGTCGTCATAGACACAGCGCTTCAGGAACCATTCCTGCACAGTTAACATCTTCTCCTAACTAGCAGATCATATTTATGCATATTTCCTTATTTATGATTATAGTTATTTCACATGTTGCATGTAAGCTGACCCATTCCCCCTTTCCAGTGACAGTTTAAATGTACATCTACTGTATGTAAACTGTAATAAATGATGTTCCTCCTCAGTGTTTCTGTCTCGTTTTCCAGCACAAACATCTAAACATTCTTAAATCAAGAGACATTTACTGGAGAAGAAGCAAAATGACTGAAGATATTAAGTAAGTGCACTTAGTTTATGATTAAGACAAGAACAAATATCTGCCAATGCCATCTTGTTTTCCCTTTGAATTAAGTTTATTTTTCTGACTGTATGTGTCTATATTTCTGCATGTGTTCATACGTTTACATCCAGAATCTGCAAGATGATTTGTTTTTTATTTAGTCCAGCTCTGATGAAGCTACATATGATTTTATGTTTTTAACACTTTACATGAAAGTCTTATTTGATAACATTAGTTAATATGAACAATATATATACACACTACTATGTAATATATACACTAACAATAAACAATATATTTATACAGCATTTATACACCTTTCTTAATGTTAGTTAATATGATTTGCTCTTATCATCCGATCGTGGTTGTATCTCTCTATTAGTGTTACTCGATCTTAGTGCTGCATTTGATACCATTGACCACAACATTCTTTTAAAAATACTCAGAAATTATGTTGGCATTAGTGGAATTGCACTAGCATGGTTTAAATCACACTTATCTGACCGTTATCAGTTTGTAGCAGTAAATGAAGAGATGTCTTATCGATCACAAGTTCAGTATGGCGTACCACAAGGCTCAGTACTAGGACCGCTGCTGTTCACTCTGTACATGCTACACACACACACACACACACACACACACTGGGTGGTTCCCCTGCACGCTTAATAAACAAACTACAGCTGGTCCAAAACGCAGCCGCTCGAGTTCTTACCAGAACCAGGAAGTATGACCATATTAGCCCGGTTCTGTCAACACTGCATTGGCTACGCTACGCGTTATATTACGCTAATATTAGTCTCTCTGTTTATCCCGAGGTTTACCGCAGTTCGCCGGATCCAGGCCGTATCCAGATCTGATGAAGGACCTGCGCTTGGACACACAC